TGTTTTTCTAAGGTTTTCATATCAGTGATTAATTTGAAATCAGAAATAATATTTGGTATACTTTTAAATCTATCTTCTATTTGTACAATAACAGTATCAATTAGAGTGTTAAAAAAATAACATCTAAAATTCCTCTACCGGGTTTTCTAAAGCTTCACCTGCTATTTCGGAATATAACCTTTTCCTTTTTCAGGAAAATGTTCTGAAATATTCAAATTACGTGCTAGCACTTTTACTTCGTCTAAAAATGTGTTAAATTTTCGTTCTTAAATTTTGGATTTCAGTTTTAATTTTATTGACTAAATTAAAAGCCGACTCAAGAATAATTGTTTTTGCTTGAAACAATATTGATAGCGTTGATTTTAAACAACATTGCAAACCATACTATTAAACATAAAATAAATGGCATTTCTTGTATTGAATCCAATAGACTTTTAGCTTCGGATACCGCTGTATTATCGTTACTTACATAAATAAATTCTTCTGGGGCATTACAAGTTTGTTCAAACTGTGTATATGTTACTGTGAATGACTGATATCTGGCGAATGTCAACATTCTCCGGTGAATGTCAACATTCACACAGTCGTTTCGTGTATGTATGAAATATTTGCTAAATATAATCATTTCTCACTTACACCGGCAAATGTCGACATTCTGCATGCACTGATGGTGAATGCTCAATAAAAATATTTTTATTACGTAAAGACAAAAATGCAACTCGTTAATATATCAAAATAGGAGAAAGTTTAATTAACGGCACATGTAAATAAACTATTGAACCTAAAACGAACAGTACGTTCTAAATCATTAAAGAATATAATACAATAATAAACTTACACATAAATTATGTGATTGAAGTTGTACAATCTTATTTATTGCAATAACTTAAACTGTTATGGCACTTTGAGTCCCTTGCTTTTACAACTGCATTTATTTGTGGAACACTTCTTTTTGCAATGACAGCATGTACAGTAGACCCCTATAACACTGTATTGGTCACTTAGATTTTACAAATACGTGTGTCGGGCTGTGAACGGCTCACGTATTTGTAAAATCTAAGTGACTCGTACAACATGGAATTCATATAACACGGAAATATCTACAGTGTTATAGGTGGGTCTACTGTATAGCCTTACCCTCTACTTTCGATTTAGCTGTAGCTGCTTTACTCAGCGATATTTCTTGAGAAGAAATCTCATCTATGAAAAGTAACTTTTCTTTACAAATTACAACCTGATTACGTAATTACGTGATTACGAACTGATCTGTTAATGGTGTCTTTTATTCGGATATCGCCGACGCCTTACCGACGAACCCTCTCATCCTCCGCCACTCGACCTGATTAACCGATCCCCACCTCACGGGATCAAAAGAACAAAAACTCCATCCAGTGACAAAGTGGGCGATTTCCACCAAACCATTGCCAGGAAAAGAGGTACGACCTTGTCCTACCTCCAACTATCCACAAAGGATTTGGCGACAGACTGTCGCCTCTCTGTCGACATCGGCTTTTCGGGTGTCGTTTCGACCTCCACCAAAGCTTATCTGTGCTTGTCGACATACACCGGCGATTGTTTGAATGTTTAATAATATAACCAAATATTCGGTCTTTCACCGACGTATTTGTGTATGTGCCGACATTTACCGGATAATATCGACATTCTCTAATTTCGGTCTTTCACAGTAACATATACACTGCTTTAACCGAATCTATTTTGGCTTCTCAACGAGTGTCACATTATGGTTTAAGAGTAATGTTTAAATGCTTTTGTAGAATTTCCCATCTCTTTGTAGATGCAGAAAATAAGCAATATAAACGTTGCAATATCCCAAAAAATTTTTACAATATATACTGCTGGAAGCAGCATCACAAATTAATAAATTAAAAGAGTGTGATAGGCAAGGCACATATATTGCGTGAGGGTTTAGAGCAATTATTCTAGATTGTACAGTACACCTTTATATTTCCTATCATGTTGCTACCGTTGTTGTATCCCTGCCCTCTACAAAATATCTAAATCCCTGCCTCTCATAATATCTAAATCAAGCTCACTTAATGTTTTCAATAGAGTTTTTGCTAGTCCTTCTTCAGTCACATCAGTTGCTTCAATAAACTTTATAAATGACTCATTTATAATTAATCTTTTCTCTTCAAAATTTACATACCTAATAATAATTGAAGTTTGTTCCTTATGGGAAATATCAGGAGTACAATCCATTTGGATACTATAGTATGTGGCTGCTTTTATATCGTCTTTAATTTTGTTAAGGACTTCATCTCCTAACGCAGAAATAATTTGTTCTTGTCATCTATGTGCTAAATGATGCACAATTCTGTTTATATGATACATTAGAACAGAGTCGTATTTACTTAAAACTACGACTATATGCAAATATACATATAATTTTATACGGCCGACGGCCACAGTATTACAGTATTTTCATTTCTTAACGCGGGCTATATGGTATTGAGATTTTTTTATTTTAAAGTCGAATTTAGGTGGGGATCCTCGGGAGTTTCCCGAATCAAATAACAAAAACTAAACATTCGCATCACCGAGAATTAGTTTGAAGATTGTCGAAATTCAGAGATTACAATAATAATGTTTACGATAAAATATACTTTTCGTCATACTGACAACGATAGGAATATTGTCGCGTTTTCTTGTGCATTCTTGACAATGTTAGGGCCCCCTCAATCGCGGGGCCCCAGTGCACAGCATCCGCCGCACCCCCCCGATGGCCGGCCTTGGTGGTGACTGTGAAATGACAGATTGTGAAGACAACATTTTTTTGCATTTTTCAATATATATTTTTTACTACTATGATTTGTTCTGATTTAAATTTTATTTAATCATGTAACTGCAAGTTTGTTTATATTTACTTCATATTCTTGTATTTGTTAACACTTTTTGTTTATTTCACTGTTTTAGTTTGTAATTCTATTTTACATTTGTTTTTAAAAAATATTAAAAGTCATTTATACTTTATCTTAATATCGTTTCAATGATGTTTAATTAATTTTATACTAATTTCATCAGTTTTGTGTTTTTTTTATAGACTTTTTATTAACTATTTCATTTATTTATAAAATTTTTAATTTGTACATAATTTATTAGTATTTAAATTTTAAGAATAAAATGAAAATACATATAACTGGAAAAGTATTTTAATACTTTGTATTTGTTATTTTAAGATTGTAACAACAAACTGTTATAATTTATTATTACACTTAATGTTTCCAGATAAAATAATTGCTGTTATGTAAACTAGCTTAACATTTAGTTTGAATCTCCTTTATTTGAGATAGTGTTATGTTACTAATTGTCAGTTATATGTAGAGTTTTTTTATTGTATTATGTTTATTTATAAAAATTGTTTACAGTATGATTTTCTATTTAAAACATTAATTAAATTAAACACTAGTTTCCTTTATTATCTCTTAAGTGCAATATTAATGTAAAAACTTAATATTTTTCCCAGGTTTCATTCAAATGGCTGTAATCATAATATCTCATGAATTACACTTATGATTATCAGATGAAGAACAATGATTTTTTGATTGTATGTCAAGAAGTAAATGAAAAATGATTTCACAGTTAGGCAAGAATGAATGTACTTAATGTTTATGGCAAATTAATTGATCTAAATCTAAACAAACAATCCATTAAAATCTCTGATTTATTTTCTGAATTTAAAGTGTCTCAGAATTGTTTAATTTTCAGAATTAGAAAGAATTTAAAAGCAAAGATGATTTTTTTAATCCAGAAAAGCCACAGAAATGGATTCGATTTACTGAGCATTTAATCAGGTGAGATGATTTTATGAAAACAGCAATTTATAGAAAAATTCAACTTTTTTCTTGTATAATGAATCATATAAATTGTATTGTTTGCTATCAGACATATGTGGTAATGATGATTTACCAATCATTTTGAAAAGCATTGTATTGTGTTATTTCTTGAACTCAGATTTGTTTATAAAAAAATTATTAATTTTATTTTAACTAAACAAGATGATGATACATAACAACATAAACATATCTTCATAAAATTAAAATATTTTGCAATGAAAACTGGAAATTATGAGAGTATTACTATTTGGATGAACATTGCAAACTGTTTGTCATTGCTGAAATATTTGAAAGGATAAAAATGATTCTTCTGTTTATAAATACAAATATATTATGAAACCAGAAAGCAACTTATTTTATATCCGGGAAATAAATACAGTTTTTTAGATGATGTATTTATGTATATATACTGGTATATATATAAATTTTAAATCCAAAAAGATGAGAAAATATTATGAGAAAGGATAATTATTTTGTGAGTTTTAGGTTGAATTAAATCATTTTAATTATTTATTTATTTAGACATTCTACCATATCTAGTCAAAGGTGAGAAACTATCAGTAAATTCTTAAACTAAACATAATATACAAGGAGATAGTATGACATAATTATTGATTGACAGCAGAGTTTAATTATATTAATAATTCAGAATATGATTTATACTCATTGACATTCATATGATGCTTAGCAAATTGATATATTCTTAGATTTATCTTTTCATGTGTGAGTTAAATTATGTTGAACTTGTTTAGAACTAACTCAAAGGAATGTTGTACATGGAAGTATAACTTGGAAAATTACAATGTGAAAAATTAACATGAAATTCTGGAAGAATGAATAGTAAAGAAAAAATTATTTCATAGTATAAGATTGGATAAATGCATTAGTTACATAAAAAAGTGGAGAAAAATTTTGAATAGTGTGGTGGATCAAAAGATTTTCTTCAATCATTTTAATACCTATGAAATTTTTCTGACTTGAACATGGAGTTGTAGAAATTTAAAATTTTCCGTAAACATTAAGTACAGTTTTTTTCCAATGTCCATAAATTGTGATAGAGTAAACTAATTTGTTAACAGATTTTGAATATATTTTTATTTTTAGAATGTTTGTTGCTTGTTAGTTATGTGCTAGGTGGTTAACATTTTAATTGATTTGTTAAATTATTTAAAATATTTTTTAAACTAACAATTAAGGACAAATTGTGAATAAAATATTGACATTAAAAGTGAGGACATTTTATACCCAAGATTAAAAATAAAATTATAAAGTTACAAAATCACCAATTTATACCAAAATACATCCTATAACAAAAACAAGTAAATTCTGACTAAAGTGATATTATATCTTATTATCTAGATATATTTCTTATCTATTTTAGTGAATTGTAAAAAATAGATATTCAGTCATTAATATCTGATTAATTGTGTACAATTTATAGAATCAAATAACAAAAACTAAACATTCGCATCACCNCTAAGGTGTATGAATTTAACTGTGAAACATTAAGTGATAAATTAAATTTATTTGCCTGTGGAATGTAAATAAATAAAATTTAGTAATGATTTTATATATCTTTAATCAAATAAGAAAACTTGAATATTTTTTTAGCAAAAGCTAAAAAATATCTAAATAGTAAGAAATGTCACATTTCTTTACTCTGGATGCAGTAACTATCATTTAAATATAAAAATTTCTATATAAAAAAGATTTCAGGATAAAATATGTTTAAAAAATATTCATAAATTGAAGCCAAACATAAAAATAATTCTGCTTTAGTATATCTTTATAGTAATTTTTAAAATCAATTTGCCTACATTTAAGTAGAAAATACTATGGAAAGACAATTGCTCTGTTAATATTTAATTGTATTATTATAGTATGAGAAGGATATACAAAAAATATACCAATATTATTATTATATTTGTCTTCAGATTGTGTAGAGGATAATTTTTATTTAAAACATTTTTTAAATTGATTGAGAAATTACTTTACAATGTATTTGCAGTATATAAGTATAAATTTTATAAGTATTAATAATAAAATAAAAATAATTTTAAAAGATAAGATTGTAATTATAAAGTAATTGGATTTTACTTATATTTTATCTAACATAATCTTTTAGGAATGTAACTTATGAATAATTAGAATAAATTGATTCTAATTAAAAAATTAAATAGTATTATCAGTAATCACTGTTTGTTAGTTTTAATATATTATAATATATGTAAATAATTTTAAATGTGAGGGAAGGGATGATTGATAAATAAAGTCTCTGTTTTTATAAAATTAATTAATTTGAGAAGAGATGTAATGTGACCAGTTTTAAAAAGTAATTAAAATCATTTATTTTAATCATACATATTAATTTTTAAATTTAATCATCATTTAGAGTGACATAGTTTTTCCAAATGTTTGCTCTATTTCTGAATTTTGTGCATGAAGAAACTTTATAATGTTTTTTGATTAATTTCCATACACCAGCTCAAACTTCAGCAGTGATCTTTCATCACCATTTTCATTTTGTGAACAACCAGAAGTCTGATGATCTAGATATTTTACCTGTTAAGAAGTTCACAATTGTTGTTTGCTCTACTTAGGTCATTTTGGTAGTTTTTTTGAGATTGAAAGATAACTGTTTCTACATGGTAGCTGACAAAGGCAGAAATAATCAAGTCAGTGAAATATTGTGAAATCTTATAAGTACTTGAGAGACATATTTGTATAGTAAAGCCAGAAAGAACTATCTTTTTCTTGCACTATAACAACACAGATCACATTTCAGTAAGGAAATTAGCAAAGACAGTTGAGAATCTGAAGTTACAAGTTATTCTTATAGTGCAGATCTGATTGAAGAGTCACTGTTTTTCATCAGATGCTGAAGTTTAAGATGCTGTACAAGAATGAATCAAGGAAAAGCCAAATCATCTATAATATTCAATTGACAAATATATATGATATAGCTTATTTTAAGTATTTTAACATTTTTTTAAAATATTAGATTAATATACAGTTGAACTTGTCTACATTCTACATTCTAATAAAGAGTTAAGAGGGCTGTCTGTTTGCCACAGACTGATGCCCTGTTGGAAATGGAAAGAAGGGAAAGCATGGGGTGTGAAGTATGAAATAAAGTATGAAAGGATAGCTTGAAGGGAAGGCGTGGGACCAGAGAGCGCCTGCATCGGCAATAATTGGGATAAAAGGACAAGCAAAAAATAAAAAATAAAATTGAGTACAAATGAGTATAAAAGGTAAGTACAGAAAAATCAAAATGTAAAAAACTATTTACAATATATACATTGCAGACTTCTGGTCGCTTTGACATAAAAATAGAGTCCAAGTTGGTTGCTCCTGGTAACATCAAAACATAGAGTTGTTTACAACAATGGAACCGAGAGTGGAGCAACGTGGTAAAGGGGGGCCGTGGCGTTCCCCAATTAGAAAGATTCATCATCTGAAGTATAGTCATCCGTGTTGTTTTCTTCCTCTAAGTTCTGAACTTGTCTATCTTGAATCTCAAGGAAAGAGAAAAAGTTTGAGATATAGAGGTTTGTATGTAGAAAATAGTAATAGGTTTGATTTCAGCTATGGTGTTTTATTAATAAAATAGTATGTACAATACATAACTGTATTAAGTATAAATAAAACATCTTTGATATACCTTAGCAGAAATAGTTTCTGATGCCTGACTTTCTTTGACTAGACTATTTTTTGAAGGTAAGCAATAGTCGTGAATGCATCCTGACTATATGCTGTGAATATCTCTCTATGATTTGTGAATATCTTCCTGACATTCAAGAAAAGTTCTCATCATTTCAATGGTTTTTTCTGCTTCTTTTGTTGTAATAACTTTAGGTGAATCTATCTGATCCTCTAGTTGATTTAACTTTCCACTTCTATTGTTTTTCAAATATATTGATATTTGAAAATAATTCCTAGAAATATTTGATAATTCCTAGAAAATAATGATGTTTAAACTGGTTACATATTGTAACCAGTTTAAACATCATTATTTTCTAGGAATTATCACATTTAATATTCCAAAAGTACTAGCTTGTCAACAACTTTATTTTACCCAGATATGTTTTGGAAATTACAATATTTCCCTCTTCAGTGGGCACAAACACAATGAAGCACAAACACTTTTTTGATACACTTTATACAATATTTTAATATTCCAATTTGTTATTTTTTTCTATTTCCATAATAAAATCATTTCTTCCTGTGTTCTTTTCATTAATCATACACATTTTTCATGGTCCTTGCCATCATTACTTTCGTTTGTTTGTTCCTCATCTCATTCACTAACACTAAAGGAGTGCTAGTGAATGAGATGAGGAATAAACAAATTATGTCTACTTTTAAAGCTCTCAAGCTACCTGTTACTGGCTTCAAATTTGCTATGGCCAAGTCTTTTGGTAAAATCTTTAGCTTTCCTTGACCAAAGAACTCCTTGGTCACAACATTGCACAAACCACTTTCTAGCACATTTGTCTATTTCTAGAAAAGAACATTTTTGATTTTTTTTTTCACTTTCTTGTTGTTATTTTGAAAGTTTCTCTCCACTGAATCTCTGTTCTTTATTATTGTTGAAAGAGTACTCGATGGAATACCAAACTTGGTCGCAACTTCATTCTTTCTCATCTGAGGATTTCCAAAAATTTTAAGATTTTCATTTTTTCTTCAATTGAAAGGACATTCAACTTTCTTTTCACATCAGCCATTTGCTTCTCTTAATGTCGCAATCACTAACTTAAATATGTCAAAAAACCCATTGATCAAGGAAAGTTTATTGAATTCTGTTATAACACTTCACCTGGAATAATAACCAGTAAGGCACAAGTCAAACTTGTAGCCATTCAGAGAAAGGCAGTTTAAATTGCAACTATGCAAGAGATGTTTCTCAACTACACTGTTTGCTATCAAAATGTAGTCACCAAACTGTGAATTTGTTGGAGATACAGAGGTTTTGGGGGAAATTATTCAAGATAAACATGGAAAATATATTGAATTTAGGCTGCAAATGCAGGGGAAAAATAAATTTTGAGATAAACAGGTTTAGAATAGACAGGTTTGACTGTATATCAGAATTCACAAAATCATGAAAAAATAGCAGAGGGAAGTTTTTGCCTTGTATATTTTGTTAACAAAATATACAAGATCCTTCTCAGCTGAGGAGGATCTAATTAAATAAGGAAACTTGTTTCTTCCCTCTGCTATTTTTTGATGATTCTTTAAATTTTGTTATATAATGCATAAACTAAAGATATATTTAGGTATGATGAAATATGAGAGCTATCTATAAATTTAACAGTTTATTATATTTTATTTACTTTTTGTAAAATTTGTTACTACTTTATATATATTTTATAGCAATATGGAAAATACTGATAAATCATCCATTAGCAATGAAGAGGAACAGTTTGTTCCAATTGAAGACAAACCTCTTAACAACAGTGAAAGTTTTAATTATGATGGGGACGATAATTTATCTTATCCTGACATTTCTTCAGGTTCCAGTAAATCTTATTCTTTTGATTCATATGAATTATATCGTGAAAGTAGCCCAAGTAGCATTTCTGCAACAAGTGATTCAAGTTTCAGCATTATTGATCAACCCTGTAAGTTTTAATTCTTAATTTATTTATTATATTGTCTAATTCCTTTAATTAATTTAAATTTTATTTTTAAAATTATTCCTTCCCAATTTTATATTTTTACAAATTACAATATATTTGTAATTTTATTTTTTATCTTGTTCACAATTTTGTTACACACAATCTTGTTAAAAAGTTTATCTAATACTGTTTTTTTTGTACTGAATTATATTTTCCATTATTTTTGATTTTGCAAAATGATATAGAATAAAATTTTAATATATATTGAGAAAAACATATTTAATTGATAAAGGAAATTGTTTATTTTCTTTATTAATGAAATAAATTCATTTCTCTTTAATTAAATTCTTTTATATATTTTTTCATTGCATTTAGAAATCATGAAAATTTGATTAAAAATCAAATTATAATATTAAAGGTTTTATATTTGTAAATTTTTTCAGTATCACAAGAACCATAACAGTATTTTAAAGTTAAACATGTAGCATGGCCAAAAAGTTAGTTAACTGGGATATATTTTAAGGTTATATTATGGTTATATTAATCATTAAAACCAGTTTCAAATAGCTGCTTGTTGTTGTTTGTAATTCATTTATTTCATTGTAAGCATAAATAGCAACAAGCAGTGGTTGAAAATTGAGTTTAATCTTTCTTAAAATAATTTTTGAAATATATCTCAGTTAATTAATTAATTGATGTTTAGATCAAAGTGTATATTAAACCATTTTGATTTACAATTTATTAAAAATGTTTTAAGATTTATTTTATTTTTTACTATAAATATACATAAATTGATTATTGTGATTTAAAAATATTCTTTAATTTCTCTATAGCATTTTTTTAATAAAATTTTTTGGTGTTTTTATATGTCATCATATACTGTCACTATTATTTAATCTTTACCTGTACAAATGACTATGTATGAGCATGAAATAATAATAAAAAATATATTATAGATACAAATTCAAATATTACAAATTTAAAAATGAATATAAACTAAAAAATATTATATAAGAAGAATTTAAAAAAGAGTACAAAATTTCAAAGATTGATACAAATTTTACTGAAGGACATTTCAACAAATAGTTATTCTTTAAAGTGCTAATATCTTGTAATAAGAATGTATCTCAACAAATAAAATTAAGAATAATTATATAAACAATAAATCCACAAACCCAATATTTAATTAATGCCAAACAACCTGTCATATTATTTGAGGTGTCAGAGGACCAATTTAATAAGAGAGGTTGCGGTCGAAGTTCAAACTTTAAACTTGCACAGCAAGCAGAAAGTACACGTTTGACACTTGAACTGCAAGCAAAATACTGCATCACACATTCATGTCACGCACTGATTTGTGGGATATTATAGTAAAATGATGGAAACATTCAAGAGCAACAAAGGTTACCAGCAAAGGTAAATAAACAAGCTATTTCTAGAAATTTACAAACAAATTATGCTGTTGATGGTAGAAGATGCCGTGAAAGAGTAGACCTACTTCTTCAGTGTTATTATAAGCTGTTATGTACACAAATATATAAAAATTCTATAGGCATTTCACATCACTTTCAAAAAATTGAATAATTAAATAATTTCTGGATTTAAAATTGTCTGTTTTTTACAATGTTATTCATAGATGCTTAAATAATTATTATTTTAATAAAATACATCATAATTTTAACCCAAAACACAGAAAAATGCAGACGTTTAAGCTGAACTTCTACTCGCCATGTTTGATGTTCCAAACACCATTGTCAAACTTCTAGGCTTACAAGATGGTGGCACTCTATGTTCGATGTTCATGTTTTAGAGATGAAAACTTCAGCTGCAACCTCTGTAATAATTAGATAAATGTAATTTGAATAGAGGTAGGCAAATGTTAGACTTCCATCTTGTGATAATTTTAATAATTATGTTTTTAAAATTTCATAATCATATATTTTTGGTCATGATTCTTGTCAAATAACATTGTAGCCACATTTCTTCTGAATATGGAATCTGCATCATAAATCATTTGGCAGTGGCAGTGGCAGTTTTTCTTTTCTCCTGAAAAATTTACTTTCCCGGACTGACCAAGTTTTGGGATGCAATCCTTCAATTGCTGATTTTATTGAATTTGGATTTATTTTCTAAAAATATTAAAATCAAATTTAATTTTTCATTAATTTGTTAGAAATATGATCAATATTATAACTGATTATTAAGAAAATAATTGCTTATAGGTGCAGTTTGTCCTTTAACTCCAGATATTCTTGAAGGAATTAATGAAGATATGATTGATTTATCAGTTGTTTCAAGTATTCAGGAAGAGTTACCTCCAGATATAGATCTTAAGCCAGGAAGACGCCATTATGTTCACACACGTAACATTCATTTAAATAGATGGCTGAATCTTATTGCATTATTATCTGCAGCACTTGTTTTTGGATTGGGCATTGGCAATTTCATTGGTAAAGTTATTTTTTTGAGAAAGACAAAGTAAATTATAAATACAGTTGTCCCTGTATAGTCCGACGTTTTTTAATCCGACATGCTCAGTAGTCCGACGCACCTCCCGTCAAGGTACCCGTCCCCATTACGTGTCTGCTTGCACAGAAGCATGTCGCGATGTGAATCTCCCCATCCAATTCTTACTCGATGACACACATTTCGTGTGTTTTATGTGAGCAGTTCTGTTCGAACAGTTGGAGTAGAGAATATTGTAAGTTACTGCTAGCAAAACAATGCGAAATATGTAATTATTTTCGGTAATCCGGACACTTTTGGTAATCTGACACACCTTTGGTCCCATACCTGTCGGATTATCAAGGGACAACTGTATTTATAATTAAACTATGTAATATTTATAACTAAATTATAAATATTTATAATTTACTTCATCTTTCATATTTATTTGTGTATTAAACTTAATGTATAAATATGAATTAATAATCAATATTTTTATAATAGCTTTTTAAGTAAAAAAATTATTATAAAAAGTAATATTTATTGATTGATGAAACAAAATTTAAATATTGATGGGGATTTTAAATTAAAATGTCCTTTAAAATGAAATGCAATTTGAACTAATCAATAGAATTATGATTTAAAATGTAGTGTTTGCATATTTACATTGAAAAAATGTTATTTCATATTTTATTTTTTTTAATAATTTATTAATTAATAATTTATAGTTGGAGTAAGAACAGAAAATTTTGTATTGAATGACTTATAAGTTCAGGATATTCACATCTAAAGATCAAGTTGTTTCCAATCTTAAATAATTGTAGTGAAACTCTGTATTTTACTTGACTTGAAAAAGTAATTCATTATCTTTTTAATAATTGGTAATATATACTTCAGTCTTGTCATGATTAGACTGAAATAAAGTGACATGTAATAATGATGATTTTTAAAAATTCTATTTATAAAATTCTAGAGAATTAATAAATTGTACTGTCCAGAATTTAAAGTACTTACTGTATATGTAAAGCACACAATTTTATTCGTATTTTAGATGATAATATAATTATTCTTTTAATCAAATAATAATATAATTTATCATATACGTATATAGAGCTTGTGCTTGACCACAAAATCAAGCTGTGAGTCAAATTGACTTTCTTCTTCTAAAACTAAGAGTCAAATCTTAAAATTTGCAAGTTAAAGTACCATATAGAATGATGTACCATGCATAAGACAAGGACCAAATTTTATTCTACATTTCACATGTGTGAATTGTATGGGTTGTATAAGATGATCCTCCAAACTTCCAAACTACAGATCAAAAACAAAATTGGAAAACTCCAAATAAACAAAAAACTTTGCATATGTTGCCATGAAAAAATCAAAAGGAAGCTATCAATTCATTCCTTACAATAAAATATTAAGCCTCAGTTATGTTGGAAAGTTTAGTTGCCACTTACTGACCAATTTATTCATTACTATCAAACTCACTTAAGGCAATTACTGCAGCTTGTAAACTTCCTAGAGCAATTTTAGCTTTACTGTAGATCATAAAATATATAGCTCCCTGTACTTTTTAATACAATTTTTTACATAGTGCACAAAAAGTGCAACAAAAATAGGATTAGTGCATTTTCTCTTAAATTTTGTTTGTTTGTTTTTTTTCATTGTTTTATTCATGACATCTTCAGTTAGCTTCCTCTTATTAATGAGACTAACTTTAGACAAAAAATATACAAATGCAGTACAGGTGAAGGCTATTTCCCATCTTTTTATTGCATACAAAAATTTCAACAAACATGATCAGTTTTATCATACTGCAGCTCTTTCTTACCTATTCTTATTCTTTATTTTAAAATTATAGCAACTTAGAAATTTTAAAAACTATTTTAGCAAGTTTTTTGTATCTTTATCTAAGGAAAAAGTTTTAAATTTTTAATTTGTAGAATTGATTTGTATTTTAAAAATCAAACAATTACATATGATTTTGAAAATAATAATAATATTTATAATCATAATAATTTAAAAAACTTGCTGATATATGAAAAATCATATGCATATTATATTTTGTATAATTTTATAAAAAGATATTCTTAGGTACAAATATCCTAGATTTAAATAGAAATTTTTTGTGGTTTTATCCACTTGGTCATTAGTAGGTTGCATTTTTATTCTGTCTTAGAAGAGCTTTAGCACTTTATAATTGACTTAACTGTCCATTGCAATAAATCTCAGATCATAAGTATCATCAATGTGACAACTATAGACATTAACATGACATCATTTCACAGAGCATACTACATATGTATGTAGATAAAATAAGACTAATGGTAAATATTACTTTTTTATTGTTTACTAGCTTCCCGTCGCGCATTGCTGCGATCTCAGAAGAAAGGAAATTCAAGCAAACTTGTTATGATAAAATTCAATTTACATTTTATTATTTTTATTGAAACTTATTATTATTATTATTATTCATTTTCATTGGGAAAACATTTCAAAGTGTCGTTTCAATTCTATTTATTTATTGGAGTGCTTGTGGATACACGATATTTTTTGTTTTTCCGTCTGGTGCGTACACGAATAAATCGGAAGGTTTTTCGACGCGTGAGCCGGCCACATACAGTTGTCCATGCGAGAAGCACGGATTCTCCAAATTTAGCCCACACACTTGCAGCGATTGTCAAAAGCGCGATATTCCCCATTTATATATATATTTTTTAATCCTTTATAATTTTAATTATTTAATTGCTCCTTCCTCTCTTCCTTGGCATGTTGTGAAATTTCTGATAGTTGGATAATAAACCGTTTTATTGTAATTTGTCTTTTTAAATTATTTTGAGTCGATATTAAAATTTGGAAAAGGGGGGATACCTAGATCGGTAAAATACGCGAATTTCTTCCTACAACTTCGGTTGTTGTTCGGGGTACAGTTAAGGTTTTAACGAAGTTCGAGCGAATACATAATTAGCAAAAAAAAAAGTTGAAATAAAGTGATTAAACAAAAATTATTATAAATATCGTAAATAACAGTTCACAAATGCATATATAAAGATATTTTTTGAAGGGGGGAAATGGTCTTCACAATTTGAAATCGATCGTACACACTGTGCGCGAATGCTCGTGTAAACGCGCGCCATCTATCGTAGGATAAATGTACTTCGCGGGAGTGTATTAAAAAATTAAAAAAACTTTCCGAAGTTTTATGGCAATCGTACTATGCCACAAACCTTCGCCAGAGTATATTAAACAACTTCCCAAAGTTTCACGGCAATCGGATAAACAGTGTGGTAATGCATGAAGGACAGACAGACACACACACACACACATACATTCATTTTTATATATATAGATGATGTTTATAATACACTTGTCAAACTAAATGATCGTTTTTTTTTCATTTCATTTAAGCAAGTTTATATTGCTTTATTTTCTAAAAACAATGTGGTTGTTTCAAAATTCAACAGATAATCCCAGTAAAGGTAATGTCACTTTACCTCAGGTTAAATTGCAAAATTGTGGAAAAAAAGCAGAATGATGATTAAATGAATTAAGGAGTTGTTTAAACATATGAATAAAAAGCAGTGATTGTCTATGTACACACTTAAAAAGGCCTTTTGTAAAGTGGTGAGTTCAGAGAAAGAGGTTTTAGTAGCTGAAAGTTATTGAATATGTTGGACTATGTCAATAGACATGACAAAATTGTTTGATTTCATTGCTATTTCATTTATTTTTCTTACATGTTAATTGAATGAAGATTAAATAAATTTCACTTTTTTTACAAAGTTAGTTAATTTTATAACAAAAATTTAATATTTTTATCAGTAAAGTCTAATTTTTTACAATAGTCATTGTGTATCTTTTTTATGTTTGAATCATAACATGAAAGGAAATAACTGTTGTTAATTTGTTAAAAAATTATTTTGTAGCAGTAAGCTGGAAGTTACACACTAGGAATAATGTATTATAAATTATATTGATTTTTGTGTTTATTGTTTTCCTCTCAATGGATTATTTCTAGAATGTGTGATTCCAGTTATTTTTTGACATTATAAGAAGCTGTTAATGGTGAATTACTAGTATGTTAATGCATTATTCATAATATTGCACTTATTTTTATTTGCAACTTTTCTTGAAATTGATATTACAAATTATATTCATGATAACAATACACCTTTTGAAATTCTTACATGAATAAATGGAAAACAATGACTTAAAACTAGTAAATTAGGATAAAATGCCTGTCATTTTGGTTAAAAAAATCATCAAAACAAAGTTAAAATGATAGTGGAAACAAACAATAATCAGTTTTATTGGAAATTTTTGAGTATCAAAATTTACTTAAGTGTTGAAAATATCAGATCATATTGGGTAAAAAAGTATACATTTCACATCATTATATATATATAATCGGTTCTAAAACATTTAAGATAAAATGAACTATAAAAACTTTGCTTATTGAAATCACAACTCAGTTATTATTGTTATCTTTGGGTAAATAGACATTTTAAGTTGTCTTTTCATGCTATTAGCCTCAATTGTGTGGTTGATAACATGCAATTATGTTCTGTTATTGTTAAATCTTAAACAGTGCTTTAAACATTAAATGTTAATCATTTTAATTGTTATTTACAAGCACTGCAACAGTATAAATTACTTAAATCTTTTCATTGAAAATAAATGAAAATCTCTATTAACTTTATTTTACAGCAATACCTTGGTTAACACTCAAGATACATTCTTAACAAATAGAACACTAATTGGTACAATATTGCTTTTATTTGGAGACAGTTTTATGCAAAACCATTCTAGGCTTTTTTAAAATTTATCAGGTTTATTAGTATTGTAGATTTCATTAATTACATTAGTTAGTTATGAAAAGTTATTAGTTAACAATTAGTTTGATAGGTCATAAAATCTGTTGATTTAATTTAAAAAATTATTTAAAATTATAATTAAGAATTCAATTAATCTTTGTAACTTTTGAACTGAAATTTATTATAAATCTCTTAATCTCAATAGGAATGTCTAGGCAGTGGTGGCATGAAAGAGAGATAGCTAGAAGGCAAGTTTTGAAATTGAAACAGTTGCAAGATGAACTTGTTCTCTGTATTAAAGAAAAAATAGAAATTGATCAAAAACTAATGGTAAGTTTAAGTATTTGTACTCTGTGGGTAAATTTTAATCTTTAGTTTTATTAAATAATATTTCTAAACTATCTAGTATAAGATATTTATAACATAATAAGAATTGTAAAAATAAATACAGAAATAAAGAAAGGAAATGGCAGAAAGGAAATTAATTCCAAAATAATAATAATTAATGAAATTGTAAAAAATATATATGATTGTAAAATTATCAGTTATGTTTTGTTTAAGTATATTATGTAATGTGTTTCTTTTTAGTGTAAATTACATTCCAAAAAGGAATTTTATTTTCACTCAAGGGATATGATAGAATTTTGTGTTGAAGCTAAATGTATAAGATTTAGATCTACTAACTAATTGATCTAACATGTTTCTTAAACAATTTTTTTATTCTTACTATCTTCATCTGGCTTCATGAAAATGAATAATAAATAACTTGTTTTATCCTACTTATTCTTTACACATTAATTATTTAGTGAATTAGAGACCATTAAATTTGCACTACAGAACAGTTTGATGGTTTTGTCAAAATGATAAACGTCAATAATGCCATGATCACCAGCAGAAAGATTAACTTTGACAATAAAATTACAATCTGTATTGAATTTATGATATAATTGTTTTGATTTTTTTTTATTAATTACAAGTAGCTGACTGATTTTTTAAAAAAAACTGTAACTTTTAACATGATTCATTTCATATGGTTTCTTTGGAAGAAATTGATTTTGAATAGAAATTTAGTTAGTTCCTAGGCATACAACTCAGTTACTCTTTCAATGAAAGCATTTTTATTAGAATTTGTCAATAAATCAATTTAGTATAGTACTATCACTTAATGTACTGTGTATGCATAAATTGACAAAATTGCTCAGCCGAAACAATATAGTTAAAAAACTTAGTGAAAGGAAGAGCATGACAATGAAGAATTATATTTTTTCTATTGCTTAGATATACTTGGACTAACTAAATCCTGTTCATGTTGCAACTTCAAATAAAAAGCTGATGATGATCCATTAGTTACTGTTGCTGTTAGTTGTGTATGAACATCATTCAAAACTTTATTTTTGTTACTGGTGGTTTTATATTTTTGTTAAATCTTAACTCAAAATTATTATTATTATTTTTTTTTAAGTTAAATGTAAATCAACATAAGTACAAGAACAGCATACGCATAGAGATAAATCAGTATGAAATAACAATAAAATTACATAAAATAATAAAATAAACATTTACATGCCATTAATAAATTTAGAATTACAGCAAATAGGTAATACCATAACAACATGTTACTAACTTACTAAAAAAAAAAATTGATGTCACTCTTCCTTCCCACAGTGTTGATCTGGGAGCATTATTTATTCTGAAAATTATTACTGAGCTAATCATAAAAGAACTAATCAAATCAGAAAAAAATATCATTACTTTTCAATATTATTGTTACAGTGGAATGAGTATGTGAAGAACCATGAGATATCTTGATTCAAGAAATCTTTATTTTAATAAGGAATAATAATAATTCCTTTTCACAGATATTTCTTAATAGAGAGTACTGTTCTGTTAGTAAAGAGGTTACTTTGTTTCAATAGGGCTTCATAGTGCACTAACACACATCTGGAAGAACAATTTACAGTAAAGGGTTGATTTCACTCTACATATTTAAAGATACAGTTGGAGCAAACAGCTCTTTGTGTCCAATTACTTTGGCCATAATCCCATTAATACAACAAAAACCAAATCTTATAAATGCATTCGTTGCCTTAGAAGCACAAGGGCTGAATATAATTATTGTTAATAACCAACTTGAAGTTTTAAAATTAACTGAATATATAGAGTTTAAAAATTAGCTAAATATTTTTAAAAATTTGATTCAGTTTTCTACTATTAATTATTTAAATTTATTGAAAGTGACCACTATTCTTTTCTAATAGTTGTTATTCAATAATTAGAATTAAAACAATCTCAAATTAAATTGACATATGCATAATGAATTGTATATAAACTTTCATTTTCACTTTCCTTTTGTCTTGAACTAGGATTTGTTTATTTTACATAATCAAGTATAATTCATGCAGAATTATACAAAATTTAATGCAGACAGAATTTATCTTTTAAATTATTATTAAGCAAATGAACAATTTCAGTTTCTTGAAATCAAAGTCAAAATAAAACTAATGTGTCTAAAAACAGGCAACTCCTATCAAAAGTGGAGTATTCCAAATAATACAGCACTTGTATCTGGAGTGATTTTTGTTTAATAAACAAAAATATATTTATGATGGAAATTTTCTTTACTTCAAAGTACAGTGGTACCTCGGTATACATCTGCTTTAGAATACATCAAATTTGGAATACGTCCTGTTTGGATGAAACAAATTTTGTTCGGTATACGACTTAATTCAATTATACGTGCCATCTATGAACAAGTTGCACTATCGGTGTATTAGACCAGACTAGACGTTCGCAGTGCCACAGTTTATAACTTTGTGAGGATCAGGATTTAAGAGGGCCGAGATTCGAATAGTTATATTCATTTTGTTCATTCATTTACTGTTTTGTTTCAAAATCAAACCGATTTTTTTTAAAGTTAGGGTTAACACAAAAAGGGAAAAACAACCGACAAATTTTCTCATAAAAATCGCTCATAAAAACTTCGTTCCCACGACAATACTTCCCTGTAGAAGATGAGTTAACTGTTGTGTCATAAGTTTGTCACTTCGCCCACCATTGGTCAACGAAGATCATCACCTGTGACATACATGGGGAAATCTCGAAAAGAGAGCCCCCATATAAAAGACAAGTGCGATGACGACACAGGGGGGAAAGTTATTGTTCTGTACTCTGTGTGTGTGTGTGTGGATTACCTGCCTCTCGTCGCCACCATCCTCGATAGAACTATTCTATGATTTGCGGACTTACGTCGACTCACAAACTATTTTAACGAGCCCGGGATTCGGACTCCAAGATTGTCCTGAAACCACCATCCTGTATAACTAGAGGTATTTATCCTACATGCGATGATGTGTAAGCTCTCTCTCGAATATTCCAACCTCGCGGGTAGGGTCGCAACTACTTTATACTTTGCCGTTACATTATGAACCCCCGAGAGGGATTTGTATTCCAATTATTAACCATGTATAAATGTACGGAATAAATGGGTATTTTGTTAACGAACGATTAGAGTGCATTTCTTCCACCATTATCACCTCCATACTGAACCCGAAGTCCTCGACGAGATCGTGATAATTCCCCCCATCTATCCGCGATAAATTGATAGATTGGTGTCAGATCCTGACAGGTGAAAGAATCTAACAATCCTTTCTCCTAACCCTTTTTTTCCCCATCCTTTAGACAAGTGAGACCGGACCTCCAGGTCTTGAGTTGAGTAAGAGGTAGGAGAGTGAAGAACTTGTAAACATCCTACCCCCGATTAGTCTCTCAACTTTGTTAAATTTTCTTCTGATTTTAATTTGTAAGTAAAATTTTATTATTTTTATTAATCATGAATTGCAAAAAGGCAAATGAAAAGCAACAGAAAACTAAAAAAAATGACTAGAATCACAATGGAACTGAAAAAAGAGATTTTTGAGAAATATGAAGGTGGCATGCGTGTTCGAGATTTTAACTGTTGCATACCATATTCCGAGAATGATGATATCGACAATCGTGAAAAATAAAGACATTATTAAATCTGCTAACGTTGTAAAAGGGGTTAAATCAATTTCTAAACAGAGATCAAAGACATTAGATTGTGTTGAGAAATTGCTTTTGCTTTGGATAACTGAAAAACAGTGTGCTGGCAACAGTGTATCAGAAGCAATTATTTGTGAGAAAGCTAAAAAGATACATGCGGATCTCATGAAAAATCAAGCAGGAACTAGCCAGGAAAGCGAGGTGTTTAAAGCCAGCTATTTTTTTTTACATGAGAATGGATTAATCATTTTTACATTACTTCTTATGGAAAAGGTTGGTTTGGTATATGTCCTATTCAGTATATGTCCAAACATCAGGAATGGATTAAGGTCGTATACTGAGGTTCCACTGTATTGTATTTGCTATTATAAAGTAAAGTATTTGCTATTATAGAGAGATTTCCATTTAATAGAGAGTTTTTCTTAAAATGGAAATTTGATTGCCTCCTCACCTTATCTATAACATACCAAGAATAAAATGCAAAATTATAGTATGACAAGATTGCTCATTTTTAATTTGTCTCTCGTTGACTATAGTAGTTTTTTTAATTACACAGTAAAGGATTGTTTTAAGGAAAACTAACTATATTGTAAATTTTAATGAATAAAAATCTCATTCCAATTAAATTGTGCATTTTAAGGCATTTATGAAATGGGAATGAAATAATTGCATATATTTATTTGTTCTGTTTTCAGTTGCTTTTACTTTAAAATTTCTTCAGTTTCTTCAATTACTTCTTGTACTGGATAAATATTCCAAGCCTTCTTGAAAGAAAAAATTACTACATTGTTTAAATAGCTAGAAATTGACTAAATTGGATTCTCTCCTATTCATGCTTTTCAAAGTCTTCATTACATTCTAAATTTTTGCTCAAACTATTTAAGAGCTGTATTTGCTGTTTTCTTCAGTTTCAATAATTTGGTCAAGAATAATACAATCTTCTTATGTTTACTTCTACCTTTTCTAGAATGTCTTGAAGTTGCTGCTGGATTGAAAGATTGTCTTTTTCAGAAATCAAAAAACTCTTGAATCCAGCCAGCCTTTTCAAAGCATTATGAACCTGAAGATTTTATCTCTGAGCATGAGGAATGCTTTCAGCTCTTCAATGGCATCCAATACTGAAAACATTTTAGATGCTTCCCAAGTATTATTTCATATGTCACATTCAACAAGTAATGCCTGAATCATCAACCATCAATAATGAGCTTTAACAATATGTATGATCTAAGGACCACAAAACTGGAGTAGTGTTGCTCAGAAAATACACCAATTAAACATTTGTGATATGATGTGGGGATGGTTTGTAACGTTGTTTTCCTTTTACATTTTTACACTCCTCAAAATATTGCAATACTGTGAAGGAATATGCATAGCAAAATGCACATTAGTGGACCGGTAGAGGTGAGACATATGCAAATGATTAACAGAACAAACAAAGATACACAACAGATATCTGTTTATTTAGTAATGAACATGGCTCCCACAGACAGCTATTCAGGCTGCTTTACAGTGAGGCAATTAATGGTTGCCTAAGGTATCCCTTGCCAAGCTACTTCCATTGTAGCATGCATGTCATCTATGATATGTGCACCACACATTGGACAAGATCCCACAGGTATTTAATGGGAGAGAGATTCAGCAAGGCTGCCGGCTAGGGAAAGATATGAATTCTGTTCAGGCCAGTGAGGGTTTGCCACGTGACGTAAAGTTGCACATTGTTTTGCTGGAACACTGTGTCAGGTGCAGCTTGCACCAGTGGCTGAACTACAGGCTCCACAATTTGTGTGACTTACTGGTATGCTGTCAGAGCACCAGAAATGTACACCAATGCTGTTTGTTGATTGAACATGATGCCTGGTGTAACATTTGGAAAAAGGACTGGCATATAGCATTCCCCAGGATACTGCCAAATTGTCCATGGCTGTCATTCTCCTACAGACAGAAGTGGGATTTATCTGTAAACAATATCTGATGCCATGCAATGGTCCAGTTACAATGACGATGACACCATGCCAGATGTGCAGCCCTGTATCGAGCAATTAATGACACCCTGGGGCCGTATTCAACAAACAGCACTGGTGTACATTTCTGGTGCTCTGACATTGTCTCTTGTGTCTGAGACACATTGTCTACATCACAAGCTGGTCGCTGATTGGCAAATCATTTGTTTACATCTCGAGAGATCATCATGTCTCTCGAAATGCGATTCTGGATGACTTTTTCTCTCGAAAGTTCTCTTTCTCTCAGAGACGAACAAATAGTTGTCTTTTGATCGGTCTTTCATTTTTTACCTCGATTATATCCAATATGGATGACTTTATGCTATTTGTGCTGTACAATCATATTAGAGAACATTCTGTATCTTGGGAAAGAATATTTTGAGAGAGAAAAAATGCTTCTGATTTTTTTCCAGTACCTACTTGGGAATGCCACTGATTCCATTTTTTTTTAATTATTCTACATTACTGAACTATTGAATATGATGTTAATTTTATCTGTTTCTCTAAGTATTTTTTGAAATATTACCATCTAATTTCTCATTAACTAAGTACGCATGCTTTTCTAACTTAGGTTGTTAAAATTTTTTTTTCTTAAGAGACAATTTGACATTACAATCTATAATAACGTTATAAAACAAAAAACATAACTTCATCAAAATCATATGCTTTATTTGAATTAGTGCTTTCCTTACCACATGATCTATATGTACACACTCTGCATTTTTGAAAATTTTACAATTTTATTGGTTAAAATTCTATACCGTGTTGCACATGCAGATAACCCGAACATGTATAATCAACCTAGTAGAATTGTGATGTCAACAACAAAGGCAAGATCGTTAAAACTGACCAGAATCGCCACTGTCTCTGAGAGATGAATTTTGTCTCTCGTTTTGATGTCATTCGTCTCTGAAAGAAGAGACGAGATAAGTGATTGGAATACAGCCCCTGGTTGCCGGTTGCCATGCATGCAGCTTGACTTTATGCAATGTTATGAATAGTTTGAGTGGACACAGATGTACCTATTGATGGCAATAGGCAGCTTCAGATGTCATATGCCATGTGAATGGGTCCTGATGGGTTAGTCAGTGAATCTGCCAGTCTTTGCACTGTCTTGCACCACTGTGATCCACTAGCTGTTCAGCATGTTTGCAGATGTTCCTGCATACATCAAGTCACATATTGCTGGATGGTACTTGCATTGTGCCCAACATGTGTGGCAACTGTGCATATTGACAAACCAAGGTTGCATAGCTCCAGGATACAGTCTCATTTCTCAGTTGTTAACTGATAGTATTCAGTTTACTGTCATCTCTGAGCATTTTCTATGCTTTTTTGAAAGTTTGGCTACTGTGAACCATCGCTGATAGCATTTATGGCCCAAGCTGGCTGTTGGTCTTTAAAGCCTGAAACTGGATACCATATGATCCAATGTGTACACAAACTTAATCATTTGCATATCCTGTCACCTCTACTGGTCCTGCAATTTGCATGTTGCTATGCACATTCCTTCATAGTGTTGCAGTTTCACTTTTGAGGTGTGTATAATGAAATTATGTTTAGCAAGTTCTTCTCTATTACTGTGGCTGTAATCCAGGCATTTGTATTAAATTCCCATATCACTGGCAAATCTTGAATCCAGTCTTTTTAAAGTGTTTTCAATCTTTTATTAATTTTGCCAAAACACTTTGATGATTTTGATTTTTCTATGACTAATAATTTCTTAAGATTAATAATTTGCTGTCAACTGTTGAGAGAGGAAGCTGGAGTTTCTTCCTGGAGAAAACTGAGAGCTCAAAGTGATTCTAATCCCTATAAAATTAACATTATTTTTAATAATAGAAAATAAAATCTTTAACACTGATTTTTATTAATAAAGAAACATTCTATATACAGGAAATCCTTGTTTGTTTGAAATTCAAGGGCAAAATAATCACGACTTCAAACTATCGAGTTTTGAATTATTCGGGATTTACATATTTCTCCACAATGTGCCAGATTCCCTTTAACAGATGTAATTTATTAAGCAAATGAAATATAGCTAGGAATACAGATTAATAATTAATAATAATAATAATAATAATATATTTTTATTATTTATAATTAATAATAATATGGTTGTAAGTGATCCTCTATCACCACAGATCCCTTTCTACAAGAAAAACCTTCAAACCAGGAGGATTTGAAACATTCTTTTTATTCTGCAAGCCAATAACGAACCTTGCCAAAACCCTTCAACCTTCCAAAATTGCCATTCCATCCTCCGTGTTCCAAATCTTTTTATAACATTCTTTTTAAATTTTTACCTTCCATAGTGATATCAGACCCAATCGTTTATTTGCATGTTAATTTGTTTGTGTTCTAAAACAACAAACAAATTAACATGCAAATAAACGAGTGGGTCTGATATCACTACAATAGTAATATAAATAAACTGCAGGTAAACAGCATGTCTGGTAAGAACTTCACAGGTTGTCAGATAGGTTTAATAAAAAGTAAAGTAGAATTACTCAAAATGTAGCCCTGGTTATTTTAAAAGTCGCCCAAAAAGTAGTAAGATGCCCAAATGTAGTAGCCTAGAGCACTACAAATATCTCAGTCTGTTACTCATAGTCCAATCTTGCAATCCTGAAAACCAGCTGTATTTTATGAGGTAAGAGAAAATAAGTGTAGTCCATGGTTAAGGTGACACCTGAAAATGTTCAGTTGTAAAAGCAATGCCAGATTTGGGTTGTTCTTGGTCTATTGTTCTCTTGTAACATGGAGGCACTTCAATGTAAATGAATGAGTTAACATACACATATCACAGTTCAGACAGAATTTTCACTTTGAATTTTGAAGTAGCCATATTTCAAAATCCCTTAACATTAACATGTAAATCTCTATAACCCTGGCTGGGACAAAAGTACAATTACAAACTAACAGGATTTTGAATTATCTAAGTTTGAATTAATGAGGATTTCATTTTGTATTTCATTTGTTCAAATGGCTAAAGCAGCCTGCTCTATTCCTGAACCCATACCAGCTCTCAACAGCCTAGTTTATCATTCATATTGCAACATAGAAAAAGTGTCAGTCTTTCTTTACATATCATTCTTCTTGAACAAAGAACAATTTTTGTCTTAGCACAACAGGAATTTCTTGGTAACAGTTTGTAAAATAGTACTGTCTTCTTGCAATTGTACAAATCATGGAAATCATATATAGTAATGTTTGCTTCAGTTTTTCTTTTCAGATTGTCACAATTTTGGGATTAATATCTTTAGCTTTTCTACATAAATTGTTAAAAAGAATCCCTTGTCTGGTTTCTGAATTTTTCTAGCCATATTATAAAAGCCTTAAAATCTATCAAATCTTATTGTTGAGTGAGCTCCATAGCTTTTTGCTATAAAATGGATCCTGACAACAGAACTTTTTCTCTGATTGCTTGCTTTGAACTGTTCCCAAACACTGTTCTTCAGATTTTCATATGGCTGGAAATACATTGTTTCTTAATTAGCATGGTTCTGCTAACTGTACATGTTTCCATTGATTTCAAATGGCTTTTTAGACCAAAGATTGTACACCTGAGTTTTACCAATTTGTACTTTTAACATATTGTTTTATGTTAACTTCAGAGTCTAAACTATGCAGTTGTATCCTAAAATTCAATTATAAAACATTTTAATAGTCAGCTGTTTAATTTTATAACCTAATTTTTGTAACCAAGTTCTGTTTGGGGTGCAGATCTCTGAGACATACTGGACTGTACAATATAGCAAATAGTATGTGTAAAATTGTTATTGAAAGTAGAGATATCTAGTAAATTTTATTTTTATGATAAATATATTATTTCAATACATTTAAAGTAAATGAATTAAATATTAACTTCTGTAGAACANTTATTATTATTATTATTATTATTATTATTATTATTATTATTATTATTATTAGATCTAATTAATTAATATATGCTTTTTTAGAATCTGCATAAAGAATTTTCAAACAATGGTTTATATTCATATCCTGGAATAAATGAACAGATAAATAGTTCCATGCAATTTGATATTAAAAGAAACAAAGATATAAATCAGCATTTACAAAAAGAAAACATATTTCAAGCTCAGGAAGTTAAAATATATCAACTGCAGGAAGAAAATCATGAACTTCGAGACACACTGCATTGCTTAACCAGTCAAATTGAATCAAGATGGAGTTCTCGAACAGATGAAAATAGAAAAGACGAATTAAAAGTAGTCTCAATAAATGAGAAAATAAATAATGTGAAAGATCATATTAATCAAATGATATCTGAAAATGAGGAATTAAAAACTGCTGTTGCTCGTCTTCGATATGGAAATCCTTTAATTCAGATTGAAAGCAATACAACTTTTTATAATGATAATAATAATAATAATGATTTACAAAATAATACTCAAAATAATACATTTACAATTGTTTATAATTATTGGAAAGAGAAATTTCCAACTCTCACCTATGATTTCAATTGGGTTGAGTCATATTTAAGACATGACAATCAAGATACTAAGTCTTTTAATACAGCAATTAATGATGTCTTATCCAGTCTGTTTAATCAAGTTAATTTCCTTACTGAAGATATTTACAACAAGTTTAATATTCAAGAAATTCGAATGAATGTCAAAAATAAATTAGCAGAACTAGAAAATTTCAGCAGCTCATTTTGTGGCACTGATTGCAGTCATGCTATAAATAAAACTACCAAAAAAATGAAAGAGATGATTTATATTGCAATTCAGAAATGTAAAAAAGCTATTCAAAAATTTAAAGATAATGAAAAGCCATACGAATTTAAAACAAAAAAGTTATATTCAAAGATATCAGAAATTTTTAAGAAATTGGATCAGAAATGGTCTGATATCAAAGAACATTGGTCAAAGAAAAATAGGAAAGAAGAGAAAATACACAAGTACAAAAAGGATAAATATTCCTATCATTCAAAGACAGATTATAAATTCAAAGAAAAATCAAAAGAAACAAATTTTGTTCCGCGCACTTATGTCGAAAAGTATTCAAATGTTAAGAGGATAAACGGAAGAGGAATGTGAGAGTGATTTAAAAAATATTCTGAAGCTTTATTAGTCTGCAAATTTATTTAATGTAATAATGCTTACAGTTATTTTTTAATATTAGTTTCTAATTATAATAACTGTTGAATTGTTTTAATAGATTTTTTGCTGAATGTAGAAATATAAAATTGATAAAGGAAATGACAATAGTTAACAATTTATTTAGTGACACTATTATATTAAAAATTGTCATTGTTAATACTTTATTATTAAAATAATATTTTTTAATATTTGAATAAAAAGTGAACTTGCAAACTTATCTATTAAATTTGATGATATAGAATCAAGTTTTTTGTTATATTAAAAATATTTTTTGTTTTTCAATAAATATCTACTTAATTATTACATTAAGATTAAATATTTTTATCATTAATTTTGACTAAACAAACTTTTCATTTTGTCTATACTATATCTTAAATATCTATACTATACTAAGTCTATACTAAAATATCTTAAATATTTTTTAAATTCCATTTTTGTTAATATGAATTTTTTTGAGATCATTTAATTTTCTTATCTACAGTATATCCTGTACAGTAGTGCAGTCTATAATATAAAATCTTTTACAAAATAAATTACATGCAAAATAGTTAACTTAATTATTTGAAAATTGACGTACAGGATCTTCCAAAAAGAATGTTGTAAGGTACATTTAAACAGAAAACTATCAATTTCACATTTGCTCATTACAATTTCTCAATATATGCTCCATGTGTCACAAATAACACACCCAACCAATACTCAAATTCTTCCTATAATGATACAATATATCCATCACCCCTCCCACAGCATCCCAGTTTTACTCATGCTCATACAATTCCTGCAGATTACTCATGTTGCACAATAAGTGCTTTCAATTTGCAAAATGCAGAACATAAAATGCCTGCTATGTTACAGAGGCACTATTTTTTTATGGAATATTATAGGGGTCTTATTACTCTATATTTTACTTTGTGTTACTTTGTACTAAATTAACTTGTTAAATATACTGTATTAGTATTGATTTTTGTTTTTGTAACAAATTACCTCCTTATAATGAACTAAGGTTCATATAATAAAGAATTGATTGATTGAGACAACAAGATCTTTGAATGCAGATAGGAGATGAAACTCTGACAGTTATTATGTAGCTTGGTATACTGTACATGTACATCTTATACTCAAAATAGTTATCATAGTAATTTAAACTGTATTTATTTTGGAAGATCCTGTATATTAATCATCATTATTGCTTGTGCAAATGATTGGGCTGCAATTTTCAAATTGCAGATTATATATTCCCACTATTTATTTGTCTTTCATTAATCTCGAGAATAGAGCTAGATAGATAAAAATTGAGACCATAATATCTCCAAGACCAATGAACGGATTTGGATGGAATTTAAAATATTTAGTGTTTGGGATGAGGACTGCGGAAGACTTAAATTTTGAATAAATTCGTTGGATCGTTCTGGACTTAGGCAATCCCAAATTTAGCATTTTCCTTCCTAGATTTAAAACGACGCCAAGCTATCGGGTTTTATAAAAGAACCAATGTTTAGCGACACCAAGCTACCGGAAAATCTAGAAGTCTATGTATGCTTAATAGCTCTTTCGAGAGCCGATCACCTCTATCTTAATTTTCAAAAGGACCTCTTTCGTGGTCCTTTTGAAAGTTTTATTTAAAAATATCGAGTACAGTGGTACCTCGGTATACGTCTGCTTTAGAATACGTCCTGTTTGGATGAAACAAATTTTGCTCGGTATACGACTTAATTCAATTATACGCGCCATCAATGAACAAGTAGCACTATTGGTATACTAGACCAGACTAGACGTTCGGGGTGCCACGGTTTATAACTTTGTCAAATTTCTTCTGATTTTAATTTGTAAGTAAAATTTTGTTTTTATTAATCATGAATTGCAAAAAGGCAACAGAAAATTAAAAAAAAAATGACTAGAATCACAATGGAACTGAAAAAGGAGATTATTGAGAAATATGAAGGTGGCATGCGTGTTCGAGATTTTAACTTGTTGCATACCGTATTCCGAGAACGACGATATCGACAATCGTAAAAAATAAAGACATTATTAAATTTACTAACGTTGCGAAAGGGGTTAATCAATTAAAAATCTGATTTCACTCCCTTATTAACTCGTAAACCTTTTGTCCGATCTGCACGAACTTTTTCATACTTATTCTTTGAGACTAGGAGGATAGTACAGACCAACGAGTCGATCGCGAAGCCAATTTTGGTCGATCGCTCGCGATGTCTTGATTTAATGTGTTACACTTGTAACCGAACGCAACAGTATGCATGCATTTATGACTAGACTCATAGGAAAACACAGCCATTTAGTTTGAATATTTGGTACTGTCATACGGTAGCTTCTTTTTTTTAGTATTAACAATATTATTATTATTAATCAATATTATTTATCCACGGTGACAACGTTAAGTTTCAATTTTTCTTCTGTTTATTGAGTATCTTTTCTTTATGTTTTAAATTAAATTGTAGCTTACAAGGCAGAAAATTTGAAGATGATTTTTTGGAAATACATCAACAGAGAAAAATATCCCAGTATCACCAAATGTAGCGAATATATTTATTTTTGTTTCGGATCTACATATCTGTGTGAATCGGCATTTTCATACTTAAAGTTAACGAAGACTAAACAACGTTCTGTCCTGACTGTTCCCATACTGAAGACTCATTATATTATTATCTTTGTCAGGATATACACCTAATTATGATTAGAGACGTGCAAACTCAGTCCTCCCATTAATGTTAAGGTAATAAAATAAATTCTAAATCTGTCTTTATCTGTAGCTAATTTGAATGAATAAATATTGTTAATAATTACTCATGTTATTTTAATTCCCCTGGATGTGAGCTTTTTTTGGCCCATTAAATAATTACAGTATTGTTTTTTACGTGGGTGTTTCAGTACAAGGTACACTCCCGCGAGCTATTGATAGATTAGCAAAAAATAAGTCTAAAAATCTTATATCATTCTTCCATTATAAATTTTCATGGCCCAAAAAAATCTTAAAATAAAATTATCAGCCATACTGTGCATTTTAGAACAACTTTTTCATATTTACGAACAAATATACATTGCAAGTGATAAAAAAAAAATGAGATTTTTAAAATATAATTTATCTTGAAGAAGTGAATCGATTTATTTCGATTTAGGTACCGCCTGCACGGATTGAATTCGTAGCTGCAAATATCAAAAGTTGGATCTGAAAATTTATTATCTTTATGAGCCTATATCTCGAAAACTTAAGTGATTTAAAAAATAAAAAATAGTTTTGAACATATATTTTGCTTATCTACCCATAGCTCACCTTGTGCTGAAACACAGTGTATAAATATAGTATGTACAGTATTTCACACCTCTCCATCCCCACTTAGACTATGCCTATGACAACAAGTCGATCGCGACACATTTTTAATTAAGATAAAAAGTAGATCTTATGTACACAAAAGTTGGCTACCTCTGATATAAACTATCACGAAAACCTGGACATCACCCCACCCTTCTTCTCCACGCATTACCCGTAACAAGATATTTTTACTCGATATTTCTCTGAAAAAATGATTTTGGTTGGCTTTTCGCGATAATGTTTATATTTTGATATGTTTTAAATAAGAAAAATTACTGTCACAATCAACTATTTACTATAATTAATCTTTAATTTGGAAATATTCAACAACAACACCGAAGTAAAGACGGGTTTAATACATTTTAATATGAAAAATCAATTATTTTATAATTTTTTTCATACATGAAAATTTCTATTTTTATTCATCGCAATTCAGGCCTTTCTTCTTTCCTTTTCCTCGTTTACACGCATTATCTTTACCTTTTTGTTTATTTTCATTTTCCCCTTTTCCATTGCCACCACCATCAACGGCTGGTTCACCATCTGTAAAATAAAAAACTTGCATAAAAAACTTCGAGTAAATAACTTTATAGAAATGAACCGAAAATATTTTAATATAAACAAAGTAATAAATTACTTAAAATGATATAATTCGATTTTATATTTTGCCGAACCATTGCTCTTCTAATATATTAATAAATACAAAGTACTGTATACTTAATAAGCATATTTTTAATATATCTGATAAGAAATTATTAAATTAATACAACGGACATTTACGTCACAATACTTTAAATACTTATTACTAAATTTTATACGTGACTAGGTTTGATTACCAACCTGTTTCGGTAGCATCACTATCTATAGTTTCACCCTGACAAGCCACCAAAACCAGCATAGTTGCAAGAAGCAGGAAGATTATCTGATGCTTCATGCCTTGTGATTAGCGAAAAGTTGTTTTCGATTTCGTGTTTTATATGTTCAGATCAGATGTAGAGCGGAAACGCCAGTATCGAAATTTATTCAGCTCTACAAATAAAACGAAACTTTTCTTTGTCCTCGACTATTACATAATTCATGACTTCCTCTAAGTGTTTTTGAAATTCACATTGTTTGCATTTTATTATTTTGCATATTTATCTTCAAATCTATTTAATCATATATGCTTCGTATGAGTTTTAAAATTTATTTTAATTACTGTATTTAAATATTGTTACTTGAATCTAATTTATAAAAATAATTTCATTTGTGTATCGAAAAAATAATGAATAAAATTTATTTTTTTAAAGTTTAAATTTTATAATCGAGATGGGTTGATAATAATAAGCGCAGAGCCCAAAAGGTTAGGAGTTGAAAGTAGAAATTTGGTACACAGTTAGGGTACGTCACGAAAATGTACACTAAGAAGAGATTTTTCGAAATTCGCCCCGCGGGGAAGAGGGAGAGGGTTAAAAATTATTTTATAGAACTCGGCTTTACTGTACTATTTTAGGTGCGTTTTTGCAGAAAATCGAACATATTTTTAAATAATGTAAAAATTTTCTAATTAGTCTCGGAAGAGAGAGACTTAATTCTTGCACCCGGTGAAAACGGGTAAGATCGGCTATAATCTAATAATGTTAATCTTCACTATCGTTACTTTTTTCCCGAACAACGCCGGGCTCATCTGCTAGTTCTTATAATAACCAGCAATTGTTTATTGTGACATCATCACAATGCCGGGCTGCAATTTTTAATCATATTTTTAATTTATTTAATCTAAAATATATGCTCTTCACCTCAAATTAGTAGTGGCTTGCGCCTGTACAGTACATCATACTTTTCCTTTAACAACAGAGTTGTGCCGGTGATCTATCTAACACCTTTCGGGGGAAAATTTTTGAATTGATATGACGTGACTTCCTACTTCTGAGGTTTCCATATCTGGCCTCGTCTTTCATCAATCTTACTTCGTTCTTGAGATTAAGGAAAGACAGACGAACGATAGTAGGAATTCATCTACATTTTTTCAAATTGCAGCTCAATGAATTGTTATTGTAACGTATTCGACCAATAAATCTCTTCCTTTTTTTGTAAAATTATCATCATCATCTGAATAACTGTGCATGTTATATTATATAATGAATACAAAGACTTTTATTCAAAGGAAATTTTATAAAAATTTTGTCAAAAGAAAGAAAGAAAAAAAAAGTAATTAAGGAAATGGGAAATGGAATTTCATCAGTATTCATATTTGTATATTATAAAATACTTAAATGCATTTTACAATTTTTACTTGCATTTTTGTGATTTGCATATTGTTTTTTGTATTGGTTGAATAGAAACTGTTGTATCAATAGGAAATGTCGGTTGTATCAATAGAAATTCAAACTTTACATCATCTTCCTAAAATAGAATAATCGTAAGTGGAAATAACTGTCGTCGTTGAAAAAATTTAAGACAAAAAATATTCTCTAAATACGACGACGGAATGGTTAAAAATTGTTTTCTATTGTCACGCGATTACACAAATTCTTGTGTGGATCAAATAACAGAATTTATATGATTTGTGTGGACACACAATGTCCGAAATCAAAAACAGTTGTTTAAAAATTGAGTTATGTCGCGTCAAATGGAATATGAACCACGAAATCGTGCATAGTATATGCACCGAATAATCGAAAATACGTGCAATTAAAAAACCATTCAAATACGGTATATCAAATTAGAAACAAAATTAAATATTTTAAGAAAGGATTATTATACAAACTCGCATATCTGAAGAAGCTCGTCAATTTTGAAATTGAAAAATTTTAAATTAAAATTTCATTTAAAATTACAAAATCTAAAGAATAAAGAAGATAATTTAATTTAAGATAATGTTATTTGTTGCGTGCCAAACTATATGAAGAGAAAATAAATTCCTCTTTCAAAGGACACAATTGCATGACACGTCACTGACAGAAATCTTCTATAATCAGTTATAATAGAAATAAAAAAAATTGTTTTTCCTATTGGATGAATCAATTGATATTTGAAATAAAGCAATAATATTAATGTTTAAATATGTTGGTTGACAATTAAAATATTTGAAAAGTTTATGAATAGCTATTTTTTACTTATACAGATATACGCGTGTAAAATATTCATATTTGAACATTTCTAGCGAAGTGTTAATATTTTAAATGTGTTTTAATAATTATAGACAAGGCAGCTAATACGATAGGATTACTTTCAGGACTAATTGTAAAATTTAAGAAAAAAAAAATCCCGAAGTATAAAATACATATTGTACAGGGTAATTCAAGACTTGTGGGAAACGTTTATTGCGGAAATCCCAATGTCTGGAATTTCGTCAGTAAACATTTTCTAAATTGGTAATTGGTCGAGCAGAACCGATGGCACTGTATCAATAAAACCGACGCCACTGTATCAATAGACAGACACCCAAGCTACGTGGGTATCTGCCGTCCAGGGCGGAGGAAAATTTAGCCCCCCTTACTTAGGTATCTCAATTTAAAAGACTAAAATTCAGTTTCGTCACAGAATAAATAATGAAAAATTCCGTGCTAGTGTTGCCACCTTTTTAAAAATCGCTGACTCGGATGGCAGGTGAGGTTTGTTCGAACAGAAGTTCCTGACGCATGCGTATGTCATTTTGCAATGCGATAATGTGCAGTGCATGCCGGTTCTAAATCAGTTACAGTTAGCCACTAGGGAGACTTGGGTAGGAGTAACGTAAGTAGCCTAGATGACTTAGCTCTATTGGATATTGGAGGTGTATATGAATGATTCGTGCAAAAAAAAAAAAGTCGACAGGTAGCGCACGGACGGTGAGTCGATTCCCAGACTGTCCGAATGGTAACACTATTCCGTGCTCATTTCAATCGGTCCGAATCGTAGGTGGACGAAAATATGAAATAAAATTCTTACAAGATATTTATTATTATTTATTGTGAAATTTTGCCGCCCCTTCCGACCCCACTACGCTACGCCACTGTATTGATAGGTTCCCTAGATTTGACACCTCTCAATTTTTCTTATGGGTTTCATTAAAGATCTACTGTTTAATCCATTCGTATATATAAATTTCGCCGAGCTCAAACCACGATTCATTGTCACGGTTATCAAAGTGGCAACAGATATGACGCTTAGATCAAACCAAAATGATTGTTTGAGGTAGAACTTGATATATTTGGCTTGAATTGTCTCAACCGATTCTATTTATTCTGACTAAAATTTAATATGCTTTCAAAGCTGTAAAGTTTTTTTATATATCGCCCTGTATTATAAACAACTATTAGCAGGTAAAGAAACAAGTCCACAGCATAAAAATGCCCACCAGTGGCAGGCTATTTTCCATAAAAACCTCCTGACACGCATCCTCCCCTCATCAATCACCTGTGTGTCACGTTGCCGTATAGGAATAAACCTATAATAAGCAACAATATGAAAACATTAAATTTTATAACATTTAGTACTCTGAATTCAGGATTATTTGAATTATGCAATGAAATGTCACACATTTTACGCTTCTTTCTTGCTATCCAATACAAAAGTATTAACAAAATTATGCAAAGTTAAAGAATTAATTCATGTTTTCTAAAAAATTCTAATCTTTTTAAATATTACAAGGATGCTAATTGGTATTTGAAGCTGTATTATTTATCAGAATTTTTCAATACCGTGTTTCCCCGAAAATAAGACAGTGTCTTATATTAATTTTTGCTCTGAAAAAGGCGCTAGGTCTTATTTTCAGGGAATGTCTTATTTTTTCCAGGAAGAAGAATTCACATTTATTATTGAACAAAAAAATTCCCAAGTCGAACTTAGACGAGAGTGACGTATATCCGGTGTGTCGAACTGTCGCCTTTTTATAGCGTTAACATCGGACTCGATGACCAATTAGTGCT